GCTAACGCCAGTCGTGCAGCATCCCTGGCTAACGCCAGTCATGCGGAAGCGGGCCGAATTTCGCCTTGGCCGCCCCGACCCCTTGAGCTGGCTGAGGCCTGGTTAGCTCCAGTCATACAGCAGTCCTGGCTGACGCCAGCCGTGCGGAATCCGGCCACCGTGTAGCCGCCCCGACCCCTCCTGAGTAAGACGCGTTATGCGTTGTTCACCCCGACCCCCCCAGGGGAGTTGATCCCTGGCTAACGCCAGTCGTGCATCCGTCCTGGCTTACGCCAGTCGTGTGGACACAGGCCGGACTTTGGTCAGCCGCCCATCCCCCCCCGAACTAACGTGACTCTGGCTAACGCCAGCCATGCAGCAGTACTGGCTGACGCCTGTCGTGCGGAGGCAGCCGAACTACGAATCACCCCTCCTCCCCTTGAACTGATTCCTGGCTAACGCCAGTCATGCAGCAGTCCTGGCTGACGCCATTCCTGCGAGCGCAACTCGAATTCTGGTTAACCGCCCCTACCCTGCCTGAACTAGCGTGGCTCTGGCTAACGCCAGCCATGCAGCAGTCCTGGCTGACGCCAGTCGTGCGGAGGCAGCCGGACTACGAGTACCCCACATCCCCCCTGAACCGATTCCTGGCTAACGCCAGTCGTGTAGCAGTCCTGGCAAACGCCAGTCCTGCGAGCGCAAGCTGGATTTTGGTTAGCCGCCCCTACCCCACCTGAACTAGCCTGGCCCTGGCTACCACCAGGCATGCAGCAGAGATGGCTGACGCCAGTCGTGCGGAGGCAGCCGAATTACGAGCCCCCCTTACCCCACCCGAGCTGAATCCTGGCTAACGCCAGGCGTGCAGTAGCCTTTTGATTAATCGCCCCGACCCCCCCCTGAACTTGCGCGGCTCTGGCTACCGCCAGGCCTACAGCAGTCCTGGCTGACGCCTGCCGTACGGAGGCAGCCGAGTTACTAGTCATCCCTTCCCCCCTGAACTGATTCCTGGCTAACGCCAGGCGTGCAGCAGTCCTGGCAAACGCCAGACCTGCGGGCGTCTGCTGAATTAAGCCTTTGTCGCCCCGACCCCCACTCCCTGGCCCTCGTGGTCGGGGTGCTCGTCGGGCCCATGAAGGGGCCCTTAAAGGCTGCCCCGTGCGGAAAGGACGAATTAGAAGTGCACCCAAAGAGGACGGCGAAAACGAATTGCCATGGACCGCGAGGGGAGCGGAGACCCAGAGCCTCCGCCCCTACTTCCGACCGTTCTGCCCTCCCTCCGCCGTCTCCCGCCCAGGCTGTCTGAGCACTGCTTCGACGAGAGAGCACGCCCCAGCGTCGCCAGGCTGCGCCAGAACCAGCCGACCTCCCTCCCCCCCCCCCACGCCCAACCTCTCTCCCCATGCCTACTGCCCCTCCGCCACCGCCACCCTCTTCCCCTCGCCCCATCTCGCCTCGACGCGCCCCCGCCCCCCCCCATCCCCTCTCTCGATGGCGCCAACTATACACCTAAGCCAGTCCTGCACGCAGGACTGGTGCGTATGCATTCCAGGTCGAGCCGGGAGGGCGCACACACCGATCATGGGCCCCGAGGTGGGCCTGGCCGGGTACGGCGTATGCTCGCGAACGAACCCTCAGCCTACAACTGAGCACGCGCTCTGCGCGAAGTCCCAGACAGACAGCACACGAACACACGGCGCACACCTTCTACGACCTGCGCTGGAGGGGGGACCATCAGACAGCACACCTACAGGAGGCGGGGCGCAGCTGGCCGGACAGCAGACATATATCACACGAAGGGAAGGCTGATTCACGAACACAGGTGTACATAATTGGAGCCCTCCGACCCTCCCTTCCCCTCCCGATGAGGGTGAAGTCATGATCCAGTGGAAAAATACATCACGATCGGGTTGTTCAGGGCCGGCCGCACCCCGGGGTCCGTTTCCCCTCCGTTTCCCCTTTCCAGGTCCAGGTTCTGGTCCTCCTCCCTTCCCCCCCCCCGCTCGGATGCGCTCAGACCCTCCCTGCCTCCGGCGCAGCGTGGGGTTGCGCTCAGATGCGAGCACAACCCCACGCTGCGTGCGCCGACGCGGGGTCGAGCAAAATTGCCCGACCCTGTGGGAGGCCAGCACCAAAGCTCATTCCAGCGAAGGGCAACTCTTACATGTGGCAAGCTCCAGAAACCCTGAACCCAAAACCATTGCCATCTCTTGGGGCGCATCTTTTTTCTTCCGCTGGCCTTCCGCAGGCTTCCGCTGGCGGAGGCGGCCTCGCTCTGATTCCGACGATCTTTCGCTGCCTTCCGCCGAGGAAGAGATGCCAACTCCTTCGATCCTCGAAGGCAAGGCCCTTTCTGGAGCGCGCCATGTACACAGCCGGTCCCGTGCCTCCGTAGACATCCGGCGCCGCTCCAAGTTTTGTCGATGCGTCGTGGTCCCCTGGAGGCCTCGACCACTTCCCTGGGGCCAGTGTTTCATCCTGAGTCATTCTTTGACGGTCCTGGGGCCCGATGAGGGCCCCCGGAGGCCGACCATAGCCAAAAGGCGGACGCTCCAACATTTGTCGGAACCTCGGATCTCTGCCGAAGGACATAAGCTCACTCCGGCGGAAGGCCACTCGTGCATGCACATGGCCCATAGCCAGCTCCTCCTCCTACACCCACTCCTCCTCCTTCCTCCTCCTTTTCCTCCTCCTCCGTCGCCTCCTTCTCCCCTGGCTGTTTCTGGGCCATGTCTCGGCTCTCCAGCGGCCGTTCGGGACGATCTGGGAAGCCCCGAAACGCTTCTCGGCGAGGCGCAGCCGCTGGAAGGTCTCCCGAGGCTAGAAAGCCGACGAGAGCCGACGAGAACGTCCGAAAAACTCCCAAACCTCGATCCTCGGACCGTCGCTCCCTGCCTCCCCCGCCTGAGCGGCTCGCGCCCAGGCTGCCCACCAAACGAGGGGCACGCGTGCCTCCAGGCCGCTTCACCCGCAGGTCGGGGTTGGCGCAGAGCAGCGGCAGGCCCCTGCAGACAGCTGCTCCGGGCGCGGAAGCGCGGCCACGGCAGGGGCACGACGAAGCCAGGGCAGGGACAATATATCGAGCAGGGATGAAAAGGAGATCCCTGGAATCCGACGGTTCTGGAGGAGGAGGAGGAGGAGGAGGAGGAGGAGGAGGAGGAAGAGGAGGAGGAGGAGGAGGAGAAGGAAGGAAAAGGAGGAGGAGAAGGAAGAGGAGGAGAAGGAGGAGGAGGAGGAGAAGGAGGAGGAAGGCGGAGGGGGAGAAGCCATGCCGCTTGGAGGAGCACTCGCTCCGAGCGCCCGCCAGCCGGCCCAGGGGGGAAGGCAGAAGGGGAAGTGCGGGCCTTCTCAGAGGGCTCGGGAGGCTTCCGGTCCTCCGACAAGCCTTCTTCGAAGCCCCGCCGCCTTCCGAGGAGTCCCGCCCCCTCCTCGCCCCCCCCCCCCTCGGCGCGCCGCCGCTCCGGCCTGCCCCGCCTTACTGTTCCTCCGGCTCGGCCGCGCGCCGCCACGCACGAAGCGCACGTGCGCGCACCCCCGTGTGCAGGAGGCAGGGCTGCAGGGGCGACAGCGAAACGCTGCACGAGTACACCAACCGACTCCAGTATCCCAGGGCACCCTCAAGGGAGGAGGAGGAGGAGGAGGAGGAGGAGGAGGAGGAGGAGGAGGAGGAGGAGGAGGACGAGGAGCGTGCGCGGAGCCCGCGATGCGCGAGGCGCAGGTCACCTGCGCTCGCGCCCTTGCGCCGCCGCCCTGGAGCAGGGCGCCTCCCCAGCGCGGGGCGGGCCTGAGTTTTTTTTGCTCCCGCGGGCCGCCCGCGCGCTCAAAAGCCCGGGGACGTGCGAACGGAGAGGCGGCGCAACTGAGCATCGTTGAATCGATCCCCATTCCCACTGGCGTGGCCTGGGTCCCACTGGCCGGCTCACCCCCTAGATCTACATACATACGTAGATAGATATATATATATATATATATATATGTATGTGTGTGTGCGGCTCCCTCCAAACTTCGCAGGGCCTATCCCCAGCCGGAGGAGGTGCGATGGAGGGGCTGAGATACAATTGGCTGCGTGGCAAGCGGCCCCTAACCAAAGAAGCAGGACTGCCCATGCTGGGTACAAATTGGCAGATCCCTGCCGCTGTCTGGTTGATTCTGAATCACGTCTATATCGCAGAGCGGGGGGAGCGGCTGGGAAAGGGCATGCAACTCCTTGACAAAGACCTTTCGGGGTCGTACATCATGCAACGAACCATGGCCCAATGGGGATGGGGCTCGGTTAGGAAATACAGTCAAAACTGATAGTAAAGATGCACGATGAAGATGCAGGCCCCTTGGACGCCCGTGTTAAAGCTTTTTCGAGCGCGGCGGGCCATCGAAAGTAGTCACGGATGGATCAAAGAGGCACGGATTCAAGGGTACCCTTGTCGGCGGCGAGCCAAGGGGGGAAGTGAGAAGGAGAGGGCTTTCTCAGAAGGCTATGTAGTCCCTCGGCCTTCAGACAGAAGCTCAATGCGCCTCCTCCCCAAGAGACACGGAAGACTGCGCAGGAGGCGCGAGGGCTCCTGAGCAGTCCCGCCGCCTTCCGAGAAGGCCTTCTCCTTCTCGCTTCCCCCCTTTCGCTCGCCGCCGACCTTGGGAAGGTTATCCTTGCCATTGGTTTCGACTTAACCGATCCCCATTCCCAGCGGCGTGGCCTGGGCCCCACTGGCCGATTTACCCCCCTAGATGGGAATATGTTCCCTTCGGGTTTCGAGGGGTGTATCCCCAACTGGGGGGGCAATTTGGTGGGGGTCCGCAAGGGGATAATAATAATAAGCGGCGTGGAGGCGCGCAGAGTTCTCGACTTCAGCTGTCTTCTCGCGGGGGCGGCGGCACAGCGGCCTAACATGAAATGTGGGAGGAAACCGCTGACCAGTTTCACGATACGGAAAACGAGACAAAGCTGGATCACTACACGAATTTTAAACTCGGCGGCCAGCCGAAGCTGGGAAAGTTGGGGATGGGGATGGAGATCGGTGAAACGATACTGATGAGCAGCGGCGACCGGCCCGCGCCGCCCCCGCGAGCGGAGCCCCTCACGCCAGGGCGCCGTGCGGCGGCAGGGGACCGCCCGCGCCTGACGGGCATGTTTCCCACCACCACCACCATAAGTTGGAGGGGAAGGAGTCCTCCTGCTCCTCCTCCTCCTCCTCCACCTCCTCCTCCTCCACCTCCTCCTCCTCCTCATCTTCGTCCTCCTGCTCCTCGTCCTCCACTTCCTCCTCCTCCTCCACTTCCTCCTCCTCGTCCTCCTCCTCCTCCTCCTCCTCCTCCTCCTCCTTCCCCCCTCCAACTCATGGTGGTGGTGGTGGAAAACAGGCCCATGAGCGCCGCCCAGTCCGGGCGGCAGCACGAGCACGAGCGCCACGGTGTCCCCCTCGCTCCTCCGCACCAGCTCGTCCGCCGGGCTCCTGCCGGCAGGCTCGTGCGGCGATGACGTCGACGTCTCGACCAGGGGGATCGACCAGAGAATCGGTGCACACCAGGCTTGCTTTCCTTCCGTCGACGCCACGAAGAACACGCAGAGGGATCCGCAGATCTACGGAGTCTTCTATTTTCTTTTCGCAGAGAGTCGACGGGAAAAGAAGTTCTCTGAGGTAAATCAGTGCTGTAATCGACCCCCTGCTCGAGTGTTGGTTTCTGACACCGCGTGGATCGTTCGACCTTGAACAATTGCGGCTTCCCGATGGGGCAGATCATTCGCCATCGGCCGAGGCTTAGCCCCCCGCAGCGCTCAACCTGAAACACCAGCGCTGGGGTCGGCGCCGAGTCAACGCGGCGCGAACCTGCCATACGGAACGCAGGAGGACATACTAGTCTAGTGTGCTGATGTTGGAGGCGCACGTCCAACACGAGCATGCGCGGCATGGCCAGAAGGCACCTGCCACAAGGCTTATAACTACAGGGTTTATGAGTGTGCGCGTCGCCGGGCTCATCACGGTCGAGAACGTTTGCTTAGCGTGTCGCGGCGGCGGCCCTAACGACACGCTATGCCTTGCGAGCGGATAGCGCGTCGCTCCGCCCCGCGAGGCGGGAGGCTCGGAAAGGCTCGGGACATTAGTTAATGCTGGGGGACCTGGAAATGGATAACGTGGCGCGCCAAAGCCTGGTGGGCCAGAACCGGCCGAGCGACACTCGATCCAAAGGTTTCCCACTCTACCCCCACCAGCCATCGACTCCCCTGAATCGATGGGAGGCGGGAGCAGGGTTCGGATTTCGCCACGTGTTCGACGAATTCTGAGCCCTGCCCCCGCCGCCCATCGAGGCGCCCGAGTCGCTCATCGGCGAGGGTTGACGAACGAACAGCATACGCCCATACTCACAGGGGGGATGGATGGGGGCTGTGGGTGCGCGTTGTTGGATGGGAGTCCCCGCTCCAACAGGAGCCTCCCCCGGGGTCCGACAACTCGCACCCATACCCATAGCCAACCCTCCTGCCTCCGACCCCCCCCCAATCGGTATAAGTCGGGCCTGTCCCTCAGAAATAATCCAGAAATAGTCTGGGGTCTATTTTTGACTATTTCTGGGCATCTTTTGAATATCTCTTGAATGTTTCTAATTCTTCGCTCACAATCCCCCTGCAGGGGGACAGGCCCGACCAAAGTATGGGTGCGTGCTGTTCGCTCGAGGGGTAGGATTCGGATTTCGCCGCCGACTCCTGCCGCTCCGGTAGGCCTCCACGGCCCACTGCAGCGGCAGCCGCGGCCCCTGCGTCCACACGCCCGGGGAGCCGAGGATGACGAAGCGCCGGGCGTCGGCGTGGTCGTGCCTCACGACGTCGGGCTGCGCGGTGAGGCGCTGGTCCTCAGAGGAGGAAGAGGTTAGGAGGCAACTAGTGGGAGCAAGAGGTTAGGAGAAAGAGGTTCGGAGGAAGCGGGATTCAACCGGATTAAGCGGGATTAAGCGGGATTAAGCCAGGTTAAGCGGGATCAAGCCGGATTAAGCCAGACTTCGGACCAGGGCAAAATCAGAATTTGACCTCCTAGGAGTTGCATCTGAGAAGAGGCACCAACACCGCCACCCTCGCCTCGCCTTCGCTTTCCTTGGCCTCCTGGGACTCCCAGGGGGCCAAGAGAGGTGGCGAAATTCTGGTCAGAACGCACCAGGGGAAGGGGTCCGGGGAATAGCGGTATCGGTTCTTTCTGGTTTCCCCAGGTCCAGCCGCTTCGCAGCCGCAGCGCCCAGCATCCGCGTCTGAGCTCCCTCCGGCAGCTCGGGGAGCACCATGCCGTCTGGCGTGACGCCGACCCAGCCGGGATCGTTGCCGACGCAGTGCGGGTTCGAGACCTCGTCGCAGATGATCGAGCTGCCCTCCTCCTCCTCTGTGCCCACCTAAGGGCCTCCCACGTGAGGTCGGAGTACAAGGGGTGAGAAGATTGCGCCGCATCGCCGATGCGGCGGCGACGTTGGCGATGATGCATCGGCGACGTCGGCGTGGAAAAAATCTGGATCTACATCGAGCCGCATCGCCGATGCATCGGCGATGCGGCGCGATCCTCCGACCCACCTACTCCGACCCCATCTGGGAAGCCTAGACCACCACGGCCCGCCCGAGGCCCACGCTGGCGACGTAGACGCCGCTGCGCGCGACGACACACAGGAGGGCGCCGCAGCCGCCCTCCTGCTCCGAGGCGAACTGCTGAAGCGCGCTCTTGCGGGCAAGATATATATCCACATCCACTGCGTCCTGGCCTTTCTGTGAAGGGGCGTTCAAAAGTCGAGGCGCCGTGGATATGGATTAAAATCTGGTCTCTTGGGGCCAGGTCGTTATCCATATCCACTGCGCCTCGGGTGCCGGTGGAAAGGAACCCGAAACTCCAAGATGCGGTGGATATCCATACCCACCAGTCGGAAGAAGTAGGTAGAAACATGAAGTAGGAAGGCGGGAAAAAGAGATTGGGGTCGGGCCCGCCCAAAGAATAACAAACAACAGCAATGACAGACCGGTTCTTGACGCATGAAGGCAGTTGAAGTAGATTGGGATCTGGGAGTCCAAAAAACACATACTTTCAACGACTGGCCTGTATACATCTTGCCCGCAGCTCTGCTCGCAGAGGGCGAAGCCGTCCTGCAGCGCCGACGCCCACGCGGAGACCGCCCGAGTGACCTCCGGCGCCTGGGCGGCCCCGCCGCCCCAGGCGTCGAACGCGCCGCTGGCCTCGGCCTCGGCCACGGCCTCGGCACCCTCGGAGCCCAGCGCGCCCTGCCGCGCCTGCTCGGCGAAGGCGTAGGAGACCAGCCGTGACAGCTGCCCAGCGCAGAACTGCGCGCACCTCTGAGCATCGTTGATCCAGCCCCTACCCCCATGAGCGTGGCCTGGGCCCCACTGGCCGATTTACCCCCCTACATGGGGATATGGGCCGTTTCCTTTGGGTCTCGAGGGGTATATTCTCAACTGGGGTACTGAGATGGTGGGGGTCTGGATGGGGATGGGGATGGGGATGGGGATAAGGGTCGGTTAAGCGACACTGAACCTCTGCGTCGCCTCCCGGCTGCTGGGCTCCCCGCCGGCGCGGGCGCCGTCCACGACGGCGAACTGGTGGAGCCGCTCGGCGATGGCGAAGCAGCTCGCCGACTCCTTAGCGGCCCGGCTCCTCTAGACAAGCGCGTTCCACTTCTCGCGAAGGAACTACTCGCAAATGGCCCCGATCCGCCGCGGGGGATCTACGATCCATTGTTGACGTCGAAGCCGAACATGTGCGTGTGTGTTTGTCTCACGTTTCCAAATAAATTCTGCGAGCAGTGAAACGCGCTCGGTGATCCTCGCGGCGTAGAAGCGCACGCCGCTGTCGCAGCTGCCCGAGGTGCCAGCGACGGGCCGCTGCGGCTGCGCCCTCCGCCGCACCCTCCGCACCTCCTGCGGGGCAGGCGCCGCGCGGAGGCCGCGGCTGCCGCTGCTGCGCCGCGACGGTCATGGCTCTTGGTTTCCAGATGGGCTGTACAATGAGAATGCACGCTGATTTCTGGTGCGCACCATGACATACTAGTACCACGCGTCCTCCTCGGGGGCGTGCGTCCGACTCGATGGTAGTATATATCGTTTCCAGAGCGGCATGCATGGCCAGAAAGCGACCGCCATGAAGCTTATACGACAGGATGTCTCGGTGCGGGCGTCGCCCCTTCGGGGGCGACGCACACATCGTATAATAATTTGTAATAGTAATCGTATCAATAGTAGTAGTCGTTGTAGTAGTCGTAGTAGCAGTAGTAGTAGTAGTAGTAGCAGTAGTAGTAGTAGTAGTAGTAGTAGTAGTAGTAGTAGTAGTAATAGTAGTAGTAGTAGTAGTAGTAGTAGTAGTAGTAGTAGTAGTAGTAGTAGTAGTAGTAGTAGTAGTAGTAGTAGTAGTAGTAGTAGTAGTAGTAGTAGTAGTAGTAGTAGTAGTAGTAGTAGTAGTAGTAGTAGTAGTAGTAGTAGTAGTAGTAGTAGTAGTAGTAGTAGTAGTAGTAGTAGTAGTAGTAGTAGTAGAAGTAGTAGTAGTAGTAGTAGTAGTAGTAGTAGTAGTAGTAGTAGTAGTAGTAGTAGTAGTAGTAGTAGTAGTAGTAGTAGTAGTAGTAGTAGTGTTATTACTAGTACTATTAGTAGTAGATTTGGGTGGCGCCGACTTTCTGCAAATGAAACACCCCAAGGCGGCGAGCGAAAAACGCCGTGGATCTCACGCGGTTAACTTCACAACAAAATCTGGAATGCCTTTCTCAGAAAAATCTAGGGCTCCGTATTTGTTCTACGATCGAAATCCGCTCTGCGATTGGCACCATGAGACTGGGGGGCAAAATAATAAGGCGAAGCCAGGACTGGGACAAATCTGGACGGTGACACACTGGGGATCTCTGAGATCTGGCGGTCCTGCAAGAGGAACCGGGCGCGCAGGGCTCAAGAACGCTCCGAGAGCGTTCCGGAACGCTCTGGAATGATGTATCCCATCCTAGACACGCGGGCCCGAAAAAAAAAGGTCGGAGCGATGTCGCTACACAAGCGTCTCCCGGGGGGGGGGGCGTGGCCAGGACTTGGGACGGTTCCCCTCGAACGAGAAACAGGAACCCACAACTTCTCGGAGCTCCGCGCGGATTTCCTGGATCGGCGCTGGACCCCGCTCCCTGGCGCTCGGTGCCGAGCCAGGGGCGGCGCCCAAGGCGCCGTCGGGGAGAGGAGGGGGGGGCCCAGCGCCGATCCAGGAGATCCGCGCGGAGCTCCGAGAGATTGTGTCGATGCCGTGCTCTGTTCTCCGGCCTGGGCCGCGACCCCGCGGGTACGGGGCGCTTCTTCGCAGAGGGCCCGCGCGGAGCGTGTCCGTGCGACCGCGCATCCGCGCGGTCGCACCCTGCAGTCCAGACCGCGAGGGCGCGGATATGGGAGGCTGCTGAGGGTCTGAACTGTCTGAGACCCCAGTAGGTGGCGACATCCGAACCCTACACCCACCAACCATCGATCCTCCTGAATCGACGGGCTGGGTAGGGTTCGGACTTCGCCACCGAATTTTGAGCCTTTCCCCCCCCCCGGCCGTCCATCGAGTTGCCTGAACCGCTGATCGGCGAGGGTAGGGTTCAGATTTCGCCGCCGACCCAGGAAATCTGCCAGGAGGGGGGATGAGGCCAAATCCGCTCAAAATCGGTCCCCAAATCCCTCTTGGTCCATCTGGCGCAGTTTTTCACACTGGATCCGTTTTTGACGGCCCTGGGGGCCCGAAACCAGCCCCCAGAGGCCGAAAGAGGCCGAAAATCTGCTCGAACCTAGCACCACGAACCTCGCCCCCCCTTCCTGCTCGCTGGAACCGGTGCTGGGCCACCTCAGATCCCCAGCCGGCTCCAAATAGGAAGTGGATCACGAGTTGGTCCTTCAGGGATTGAGGTTCTCGTTGTTGTTTTTCCCCCCACCGCTCTTGCGAGTGGCGGTCAATGTCGCTGTCTGCCAGTGTGGCTGCTCGTGGTGAGCGACGGCGCCTTGGGCGTCGCTTCAGGGAGGGGCGGGGCGAGAAGCGAGGCGGGGAGAGAAAGATGCACTTCTCGGACCCTGCAGACCCCCTTCTGGGCCCTACGGGGCTCATTTTCCGCCGCCCTCGCTTCCCCCCCCCCCCCTGCGTACTCTGCGTACTCATCGCCCCCCATGACTCTGGACGCCCGAAATGGGTACGGACAAAATGGGTACAATGCCCAACAACAACTGGTGTCCCAACCCCACAGCGGCCGCTGTTAGGCAGGCGACCTTCTGTCTCGAATGGACACAGGCGACGGCGGCGCGGACAGCGAGTCCTGTTCAAAATGAACAGGAACGGCTGTTGGGTTCCGTACCCAATTCTGGCCATCGCTCGGACGTCCATTCCCTGTGCTTTTTTCAGTTCCGTGCGTGGCTTCTTCGCCACATGATCAAGGATGCTCCTCAATGGTCCTCGCCGGAGGAAAAATGCACACGTCCGAACGATGCCAGGGTTTCGTTCGTGCCGAACGACGCGACGCCCAAACGCCCGCCGCGCGGGAGGCTCCCGGAGGGTGCAGGCCGAGGGCTGGCTGCCCGCGCTGCGCCTGGCAGGCCGTGGCGCCCCAGCGGCGCCGCTCCCGAGAGGCGGCCGCCAGCCCCGAGGCGCCGGAGCCCGCGGCGGCGGCCGCCCGCAGCAGGCGGGGCGCGCGCTGCAGCGCCGCGCGGGGCATCGCCGCGGCGAGGCCGCGCAGCGCCTCAGAGAGCCCTCTGTGTTTTTGATGGGCCTGTTTTCCACCACCACCACCATAGGTTGAAGGGGGGAAGGAGGCGGAGGAAGAGGAGGAGGAGGAGGAGGAGGACGAGGAGGGAAGGAAGAGGAGGAGGAGGAGGAAAAGGAGGAGGAGGACCCCCTCCCCCTCCTACTTATGGTGGTGGCGGTGAAAAACAAGCTCACCAAGTTTGGCCGCCCCGATTGCACTGGAGCCGGCTGGCAGTCTCAGGCGGCCCAGCACTGGCTTCGGCCAGCAGGGGGGGGGCCAAGTTCGAGGCTCCGGGTTCGGGAAGGGCCTTGGCCTCTGTCGGCCTCCAGGGGGCCGTTTTCGGGGCCAGGGCACTTAAAGACGGAGCACGCCACACGCGCTTGCCAAGGGCCCCCGACACGGGAGCGGGAGCAGGGGGGAGAGGGACAAGCAACGGCATGAACATAAACTGCCAGAGGTCGGCGCGGATTTCTCGGATCTACGGTGGCCGCCCCTTCCCTGGCGCAGCTTGTGTTTATGACGTGTTCGATGCGTCGAAGGGTGACAAGGGGGGCACATCTGCCCCAATATGCAACACGCAATACGTAGCGTGCTGGCACCGAGCTCAACACGTAGACTGGCAACGTAGATCAGGCGCGACACATTCGCAAAAACGTGGGCCGAAACGTGCCAGACCCACACGCAGCGTGATCCCACTGACGTGTTGAACAGTGTACGTGTTGCGCTTCAACACGGGCGCATCACGGAAGCTACGCTTATTGTGGATCGGATCTCGAGCGCCAAGAACACATGCACGTTTCGCCCCCAGGGGGCTGGCAAAATTGACTACGGTGCAGCACCGAACGAGCATTGAAATCCCCATTCCGCCCCTGGCCCCATTGTCGACGCACCTCACGGAAGCTTCTGGTCGAACCCAGCGTGTAATAGCGCCGCGTCTTATGGCGCCGAACAAGGCCCAGCAACGCGCAAAGCGGACGTGATGCATCTCCCTCATATGGCACCATTGGGCGCTATTGGGCGCCATTTGGGCGGCATTCGGCGCTACTGGGCGCTGTTGGGCACACACACACACACACACTTTTGGCATCGCGGCCCTGCGCGCACCGACAGGGCGGAGAAAGTCTTGGAACAGCAATCGCGCGCGCTCGCCCGAGAACGCCCAGGCCCTCAGAGACCGCCATGGGTCTCGCTGCAGCAGCCACCAAAGTCATGTGGGCATGGAGGCATGGATGCCGGGGGGCCTGTGGTGGACGTGGATCAAGTGCGGAGGAGATGCCATAATTAGGCCATCCAAAACTGGAATGCGGGGAGAGCGGGCTCGCAGTGTGGAGCGGCACGGAAACGAAGACCGACCTGAATCCTGGGCGGGCAGGGAGTCACCGGCCAGGAACTAGAGGGCGCGGGCCAACAGGAGGCGGCAGAAGGGCACCAAGGGACGAGCAAGGAGGCTGGAGGCCGTCCGAAGGCGGCGGACAGCGGACCACAAAGGTCGCAAAGAACAAAACCACGACGGCCGGCAAGCCGAACGGCACGCCGGAGACGGCGGCGACCGCAGGGCAGCCCGCCGGGCGCCTTCCGCGAGGAGGGGCCAGGGGCGCCAGGGGGGGCCAGAGGGGAAGGGGGCCAGAGAGCGGCGCAGGCCGAACGGGGACAAGAGACACGAAGGAAGCGCGAGCACACACGGGTGCCCGCCAGCGCCAGGCTGGCCGCGGAGAGGAAGCGGCCCGGAACAGAGGCAGGCGAAGCGAGACGCAACGCACAGCGACGCGATGCCCAGCACACCCCCTGCCGGGGGGCCTGCCCGAGCAGACCGGGGGGGGCCGCAGGAGGCCTCCAGTGAAGGCCCGCGAGGAACCGCGGAGGCAAGGAAGAGAGGGCCACGACAAGGCACACCATAAGACAGCTGGGCCAGCACGGAACCGGAAAGAGCGCCTCAGGAACTGGCCCGAGAGAGCTCAAGGAACCTTTCGCTCTTGGGAGCCTTGGTGTGAAGGGTTTGTTACGTCGCCGCTCTCCGTCGGGGGCCCTGGTGTTCAGAAACTCGCACGCTTCCGCTCGCTGTCGGGATTCTCGGCGCGACGAGTTTTTTACGTCGCCGCGCTCCGGGGAGCCTTGGTGTCAAGAGCTTGTTGCGTCACCGCTCGCTGATGGGAGCCATGGTGTTCTTGAGCGTCGCTCGGGTTGAGTGTCCTTTGGGGGCAAACTCTGTTTCTCTGTTCAGGCCCAAAACTCGGATGAAGGT